TGGTTTTGCATGGTATGTATGTTGCATTCCTCTAGAAGTTTACCGACATGCATTCAGCTTGCATGCTGTATTTGCATGATGTAGATGTTGCATTCCTCAACTAATTTCCCGGCATGCAATATGATTGCATGCTACTATAAAACTATCAACTATCTGTTAAGTATAGTATGTGTGTAGGTATTTATTGAATGTCGTATTAATCTTCTAATTGATGTAAACTTAAATCTCAAGTCTCACGTAAACTATTCATTAGATTATACTCACACATTCCTCGTCATAAAGGGACTTTACACGTAATGTCAAGGGGTCCTTTCTTTACAGAATTCCATGTACGATTCACAAAGGTACCCTCTCACATAGATTTTACTAGAAGGGGATCATTCAATTGGCGTACCGTCCCGGTTTGCCTCATATCGTCTGTATTTGTACTGAACAGCTTGCCCTGAACTTGAAATGAGCTGAAATTTACCGTGCTCGACTAGACCTTCTTAGAAGCTATGAGGAAGATATATTTGATTTTTCATTTGTAAAAGTGTTCTGATTGTCTCTGCACGGAGCATAAATCTGAAAGTAATTTTTAAAAAAATCCATAATTGAAAATAATTGAAAATTTGAAAATTTGAAATTATAAACTTTATACAAATGTGGCGAAAGATAATCGATGACTATAGGTTGTAATATCTGAATGATTTGTTTAAAAACTAAATAGATTTTTTACGGTCTAAGTTGTATGATGCAATTTTCTTAATTTGTATGGGCGCTAAGTTATTCGTTATGAGACGTCTTTAACAATTTTCTCCTTATAAACGCAACAGATAGAAGTAAGATTAGTAGCGATCAAAAGCGCTTTTTTATCGCATTAAGCCTATACCCCCTTTCATTTTTCGCGAACACCCTCTTTAGTAAACACGGAATTACGAGGTCGAGGATGTTTGCAAAAATAGATCGCACAATAATTGTTTACCATTTCTCTATTTCAAGTTCTAGGAAAAGGAAAAAGTGTTTGCCGCAAACTCTGATTTTCTAATCCCTATATCTTTAGAATCCAATGTTTTAGGACTGAAGTTATTTCAAACTATGAGCTGAAAACTTTAGAATGGCGAATATCGAGATCAAGGCCTGATCTCCTCTTTTTCTAAATCTCCAAATTAAATAATGCTTGCTCTCGTCTGGTTATTAATCTCCAGAGGCCGAATTTAAAGAATTTGAGCCGCGGCTTAAATGTGGTTGGTTCCACTTAAAATTGTATTTAATTTTTCAAGATTTAAGCCGACGCTCAATTGAAACCGGTTTTTGGGGGATTTGAGACGCGGCCTAAATTTATTAAATTCGGACACAGCTCTGTTAGATCAAATAATATGAGTTTGAAATATCAAAAGTTTACACCATCAGGTTACAAATATATAAGGATTAAAAAGCTTGTGGCAAAGACTCGTTTAATTTGTAAATTGTTTTCTTCGTCATAAGGGTTTTCCATTTGCAATGGCGTAAAAGTAGCGTAAAACTTGATCGGTATAGCTGTCTAATTAATCTTGTTGTATGCGCGCCATAATAAAAATCGTATTGGAAGAACAACAGACTTATTTCAGCGTCTCATGTTGTAATGGATTTTAAAAGAATAATACAAATGTTTTGCATCATTCAAAAAAAAACTCTGGTTCATTCTCTAAAAAGCTAGTCTATTTTTTATTTTTTATTTAATCTGTTTATTCGTACACAATTATAATGGTACTTTAAAAGCAAAGTGGATTGACATATAAATATATAAAATAAATAGATAGATATATACAAAATGTCAAATTCAAAATGGGAATATATCTAAATACCTTTATATCTATATAAAGTTGTAATCTCTGTTTATCTGTACGTCTGTTTGTTTGTCCGAACAAAACTCAGGAACCCATGGACTGATTTGCCTTAAATTTTGATTGGGAAACTAAGGGTAACCACGGAAATGTTCTTAACTTTGTTTAAGGTGCCAAATTGAGTGTGTCGACTTTTATAAAGGGAAAAATAATTAGAGTAGTAATTTACGACCANGGGGGGGGGGGGGCACAACATCCCTAATTCTAGTAGGAGGAGGGGACACACCCTCCCTAGTTCTATTAGAGGTAGAGGGGACACATCCTACCCTAGTTCTAGAAGAAGTAAGGGGACACATCCTCCATATTTCTAGTGGGAGTCGAGTGTGGGGACACAACCTCCTTAGTTCTAGTAGGAGCAGAGATGACACACTTTTCCTAGTTCTAGTAGGTGGAAGGAGCTAGGACACACCTTCCCAAGTTAAAGTAGGAGACGGGAGGAAACAACCTCCGGACTCCTAGTAGAACTAAGGAGGATGTGTGCCTCAACTTCTACTGAAACAGGGAGGATGTGTTCTAGTGGGTGTAAGGGGGGACACAATCTCTTCAGTTTCTTTTTGAACTTTTTTTGGGGATTGCAAAGTTTTAAAAAATTATTTAAATGCCTCAACTCAAGTTTATAGAAATGATAACATGCCTCAAATCAAGTTTATAGAAATGATTACATGCCTCAACCCACGTTTAATGAATGGATTAAATGCCTCAACTCAGGTTTAAAGAGTTGATTACATGCCTCAACTCAAGTTTAAAGAAATGATTAAATGCCTCAAATCAAGGTTAAAGAAATGATTACATGCCTCAACTCAAGTTTAAAGAATTGATTACATGCCTCAACTCAAGGTTAAATAAATGATTACATGCCTCTACTCAAGTTTAAAGAATTGATTACATGCCTCAACTCAAGTTTACAGAAATGATTACATGCCTCAACTCAAGTTTAAGAAAACGTTTACATGCCTCAACTCAAGTTTAAAGAATTGATTACATGCCTCAACTCAAGATTAAAGAAATGATTACATGCCTCAACTCAAGTTTAAAAAACTAGCCTTAGAGGGCGTTTCGCGCCCATCTTCTAAATTAATTGTGAACATGTTCTTTTTGTGTACATCGTAAAACAAAACAAAAATAATTCGCGGATTTTCACAAAAAATTTCGTGGATTTTCAAAATTTTCAAAAATTTAAT